GCTGCTGATTTATTTCATATTGCTGCTGATTTATTTCATGTTGCTGCAGATTTATTTCATGTTGCTGCTGATTTATTTAATGTTGCTGCTGATTTATTTCATATTGCTGCTGATTTATTTTTTTATTTATTTCTTGTTGCTGTGTTCCTTCGTACCTGCTCACAGACTCATGTTCGTGCTGCTGTTCGGCGTATTGTTTTTGTACTATGACATATTTTTAGTTTAGCGTATTTCTTAGTTCATATCTTAGGTCTTATCACTGTTTTTCTTTACAATTTGTACTTTTGTTGGATGTAACTGGGACCCTGTGTGCACACTTTTGTTCCACCTCATGTACCACATGTGATGTGTACGACTAATAAAGAAACTTTGACTTTGACTCTAGCATCTCCATTTTTTCCATTGGAAAAGGGTAAATTGAGATTTGCTTCAAAACTCAAAAAGCTTGAGTTACATAGTTGAATAAAAATCCACACTCTCCATAGCAAACAACAACAACAACAACAACAACAACAACAACAACTCAATCTTTGTTTTTAATTTACGTAATTGTTGGAACAAGGAAGTTTACGAAATGAAGACTCAACACAATCTGCTAGCTTTCTTGTTTCCTTAAATACATAACTTTAATAATAATTGGCATTTATAATGTATATGAATGTTTCCGTTCCTTGCCCTGAGATAACTATATATATATATAAATATATAAATAAATAAATATATACTATATAAATAACTGAATTGAACTGAATTAATTTCCATATTGGCATCAGCAACACCATGATTACTTAGGTGATTTGCAAAGACTCACAATCCACTGTATTCATGAAACATGTTGATTAAAAGATCTACAAAAGACTTGCTGGAGTATTTTGGATAAGGACATGTTGAAGTATCAATACATTTTAAATTAACATAAATACATCATATACGAGTGAGACAGTGAGTTTGAGTTCACCAGATACACCTGAACCAATAAATAATATTGTTTTTTACCTCAAGTTGTTTAGTCCTTGCTTCAAACCGTTCGCCTTTGGCATCACCTACAGACCTTAACAGTGCTGAGCACTAGTAGTACACAAACAAGACACGAACAGCAGCACGAACATGAGTCTGTGTGAGCAGATGAAGACATATGAACAGCATGAAATAAATCAACAGCATGAAACTGATCAGCAGCAACATGAAACTGATCAGCAGCAACATGAAACTGATCAGCAGCAACATGAAACTGATCAGCAGCAACATGAAACTGATCAGCAGCAACATGAAACTGATCAACAGTAACATGAAACTGATCAGCAGCAACATGATATGGTTTTTCACAGTGATGATTCTAGTTAGAGATTCATGAGTCTAACAGCCTCAGGGTAGAAGCTGTTCCTCAGTCTAGTGGTTCTAAACTTAATGCTCCTCAACCTCCTTCCTGAGGGGAGTGGGGCAAAAAGTGTGTGTGCTGGGTGAGTGTGGTCCTTCATGATGCAGGTGGCCCTCTTCCTGCATCTAGAGGTGTAGATGTCTGTGATGGTGGGGAGGCTGACTCCAACATCTTCTGTGCAGCCTTCACCACTCTCTGCAAAGCTTTTCTTTCTGCAGCTGTGCAGCCTCCATGCCACACGTTGATGCTGGAGCACAGGATGCTCTCCACTGCACACCTGTAGAAGGAGGTGAGGACTGAGCTTCCAGACCAGCTCGTCTCAGCCGTCTGAGGAAGTAGAGTCTCTGATGAGCTTTCCTCATCAGGCTGGTGGTGTTGTTGCTCCAGCTGAGGTTGTTGTTCAGGTGCACACCCAAGTACTTGTACTGCTTTGTTTGAGAGTTCTAAACTAAGACTCAAGAACGCCATTGGCTGATTATTACTAAGGTTCCCACCTTTATTTAAATACAGTTCTTTATGTGGATACACTTTCCAAACACATGCCCACTCTGAAAGTTTAATAACAAGACACATGTTGTGTAACGGAGATAAAAATGTACTCTGAATAATTTGTTTACTGTGTTAATATTGTTTGAGAATTTTATCTTATTGATGTCTATGATTTTGAAATTTGTCAAAAGCAGAAATGACGTAATATATTTAATTCTGGTAGCTTCCGCTCCCTCACTTTGCCACCACGCAACGCAAGGGTAAGTAGTGTGAAGCGATGTTGGTGGGAGTTGTTTTCCATTGTCTTTGAAAATGTAGCTATTTAAATTATAAATCTTTTGTTGCTGGTTTTTATCAATTTTACAATGTTATTGTGACTTTGATGTTTCATTTTGACTGCAAAAGGACAAAAACAACCCAGTTTTACAGACATTTTATTTTCCCAATTGTAAACTAGTTTGGTGCCCTTTTCAGTTTTGTCCGCCCTCTTGTGGTTGGTGACTGTAACAGCATACCACTTTTTTATAAAGCTCTTAAAACAGCAGCATGGCCAACCAAAGTGCTGTACAGGAAAGCAAACAAGCAAAGTACGCAGAATAAAAACATAGGTCCAAATGGAAAAAGATAATAGGTAAAATGTTAACACTGTAGAATACAGACAGGATTAAAAACGAATCACACTGTGTCAAAACCCGGGAATGAAAATGTGTTTTTAAGCGAGACTTAAGAACAGTGAGAGAGGGAGCCTGCCTGACACGTAGTGGTAAATCATTCCACAGTCTTGGACCTGCAACAAGGAAGGTCCTGTCACCTCTGAGTTTGAGACGGGTTCCTGGAACCACTAGGAGCATCTGATCTGCTGACCTCAGAGGTCCCTGTGGGACATATGGCTGCAGCAGATCAGCGAGATAAGAGGGGGCAGAACTGTTCAGATATTTAAAAACATACAGACGGATTTTGAACTGAATTCGAACGTGAACCGATATCCGTACGTTGCTTTTGTTGTGCTGAGGCTTTTTGCAACTTCACACTGTGTCCTGTTTGGGACCCAGTGTGAGATATGATTTTTTTTAACCTCTTCTTTCCTCATGTTTCCCTTTTCCTTATCTAACGAAAAGGAAGGCAGTACCTTCCATGACAGCTGCAGCCTCAAGCACCCGTCTACCCATGCCTCATGTTGTTTGGTCATCTTTTTGTTTCTTGGGACAGGCTGTACTGAAATGAAATGTTGTTGTGCTTCTTGTGCATTGACAATAAAAGCGTTTTGATTCTGATATCAAAAATTTTAAATGGCCACAATGTAGCAGTCCAATCAAAGCTTCTCCAGGAACCTTCTAGTTGTTTCTATCACTGACATACTTTATTCTTTCTTTCTATAGAAACTATACGTGAATTAGGCATTATGGTTGTTTATGACCTCTCCAACTCCAGCCAGTGGAGGCTTTCATCCTGGTTCTGCTGAAGGTTTCTTCCTGCTCAGAGAAAGATGTTTCTGGCAACAGTCATCAATGTGCTGCTCTGAAAGGGAGATTGTGACAAAGATGTACTGACTTACTTAAATAACTTTTACTAATCGGCAATTAATCTGAATGTATTTGATCAGTGCACTGAGATGGCTTTTGTTGTGAATTGTTGCTTTATCAATACACAAAATTGCTTAATTGATTTCTATGAATTATCTTCAAAGCTGAATTACGCTGCCTGGCCAAAACAAAGTCACACTCTAATGTTTGGTTGGATCACCTTTAACTTTGATCACATCGTTCATTCTCTGTGTCTTTGTTTCAATAAACTTCTTCAACGTCACAAGATCCGTTTCTTCCAGTGTTGAATTAATGTTTCACCAACATCTTCCATTGATGACGAGACACTGGTCCTGATGGTGCATCACTTCTCCTGCCTCTCTTCTGACCCTGATGCTCCATCACTCTGGAACAGGGTCAGTCTGGACTCATCAGACCACATGACCTTCTTCCATTGCTCCAGAGTCCAATCTGTATGCTGTCCAGTAAACTGAAGCCTTTTTTTCCCAGTAAGCCTCACTGGTTAGTGGTTTTCTTAACACTACCCAGCTGTTCTTGAGTTCCTTCACATTGTGAGTGTTTAAATGTTCTTCCTGTCTCTATGAACCACAGCCCTGAGTGCTGCTGGTGTTTTTCTTCCATTTGATTTCACCAAACGTTTAAATGATCACCGATCACGATCATTCAGGATTTATTTCCAGCCACATTTCTTCCTGGAAGACGATGGGTCCCCACTGTCCTTCCAGTTTTTAATAATGTGTTGGACAGTTCTTCACCCAGTTTTAGTTTCTACAATCTCCTGAGATGTTTCCTCTGCTTGATGCCAATGATTCGACCCTTCTCCAACAGACCGACATCTTTTCCATGACCACCATGAGTCTTTCATCATGTTGTTGAAGAAATGAGAAGCAACTCATTGGAGTTAAAGAACTTGTTGCAGCTGAAACATAATCGTCCGTGCAGTGATGATCCAGCAGGAGGCTCGGACCTGTTTGACGAGTTACATCCAGGTGGAGACTTGTTTTTTGGTCAGGCAGAGTATTTGCTTGTTTTCAGCCCTATAGTTTACTATGTTTGTAGTTTAGGATATTTTTTTTTTGTTGCAGTTCTTATTTCTGCCACTAGCTGCCACCACTATGCGACCAACAAAGAGTGTTCAGAGAGTTGTGGCATGAAACAGATGTTTGCACCTGTGTCCGTCCACTGGAAGTGAGTAACGTAATGTTTGCTCTGTTCTTGTCCTGTACAAGCTCAAAGCTGTATCTGACCAAGTTTTATTAAGTGCAATGATTGTTTGAGGCCTTTTCTGAGTATTTGGAGAAGCTAACTGCTAGCCATTTAGCATTAATTATTTGAGGCCTATAGGCCTGTGTATATGATGCAATTCATGTCTGGCTTATGTTCCAACTGCTGTGCATTATTGTGTGATGTGTACTTTATGTTGATTTAAGTACTGGTAGATGTGATAGTTATTTTATGTACATTTAGCTGTACATTTTCATTACTAATTATCAACCAGCTCTTGTTTGTGTTTATTCCCATGTGGACATTGAAGTTGCCTTGTAATATGAAGAGTTCTCACAGACAAGTACTTATAATTTATAATTAGTTTATTCTCTTGTAGAAAACCACACACACACACACACAACCACACACACACACACACACACACACACACACACACACACACACACAC